GAGAGTGAAAGAGAGAAAGTGAGGATAGGGGAAAAAATGTGTGATTTTGAATGTGTGAATGTCAGAAGGAGAGAGAGATATAAGGTGACAGCATTTGAAAAGCAGATGGTTTTATTTTGTTAAGTCTGGTTGAAATTGAGCAACATCAAATATTGACGACTGGTGAGCAAGATGGACAGTTCTCGACATTGTGTGTGTGTGTGTGTGTGTGTGTGTGTGTGTGTGTGAGGGGGGTGGTGGTGGGTGTTTGTTGACATTACCAGCTGTTGATCATGTTGTTTATAATGCTGAGTCTTGTCTGATAAGCAGCTTTTGCAGCATGGCTTACGTGACAGTTTCTAATGGGGTAAATGTGCAGACACACACGCAACCCCCCCCCCCCCCCCCCCCCCCCCCCCCCCCCCCCCCCCCCCCCCCCCCCCCCCCCACACACACACACACACACACACACACACATTCGTACTTCTACATTTGTGAGGACCCTCATTCCCTTGTCTCATACATGTAAACATTACAACAACATGGTTGGCCCAAACTTTACCCTGAACAGCCTTAACTTAAATCTAATTCTGACCTTAAAAAATTTCAGTTTCACTATGTAAGTGACGAAGAGCATATGCTGCTTGAAACACGTCACTGTTTTTGGGATGTGCTAAATAAATTTATATTGCACTTCAACTGGCAGCTAAAAGTGTGTGGACTTTCTTCTTCTTTTCTGACGCTGATGTTTTTTGTCCAGCACCTGTCTATACTGGATGTGCGTGGCTGCTCCTCTTCTAGTTTCACAATGTAACTAAGGCGAAACAGCATATTCTTCCTTTTACAAACAGAAAGCTGTATTTATTAGCAACAAAACACACACTTACATGTGTACAAAAAAATAAATGCCACACTTTTGTTTTTGCTCACATTTTTCAAAGACTTAAGTTAAAGATCTAAGACTTTTTTTGCGCTTTTATGTGTATTTCTTTCAAATTTCCATTGCAAATGTGTTAAAATCAGTGTTAGTGATAGTTTAGTCATTTTTCATAGACTTTAATTAAAGGTCTAAGACTTTTTTTCATGCACTCATTAGATACGTCTCTCTCAAATTTCCATCACAAATGTGTTAAAATCAGTGTTAGTGAGCCTTTTTCCTTTTCCAAGATAGATCCACCTGACAGGTGCGGCATATCAAGATGCTGATTAAACAGCATCATTATGACACAGGTGTGCCTTTGTTTGGTCACAATAAAAAGGCCAACCTTAAATGTGCAGTTTGATCACTCGACACAATGCCACAGATGTTGCAAGTTGGCATGCTGACTGCAGGGATGTCCACCAGAGCTGTTGCCCATAAACTGAACGTTGATTTCACAACCATAAGACCTCCTCTCAACCTCACAAGTCAGTTACAGTTATGAACTGCTATGCAGAAATTCTTTGGTTTTACAAAGCAATTATTGGTTTGGCTTATTAGTGGCTGATCTCACATGATCTTGCAGGTGAAGATGCTGGATGTGGAGGTCCTGGGCTGGTGAAGGTACTCCTTGGATGTACTGGCAAATTCACAGAAATGACACTGGAGATGTCTTATGGTAGTGAAATGAATATTCAGTTTCAGGGCAACAGCTCTGGAGGACATTCCTGCAGTCAGCATATTAATGGCACACTTCCTCAAAACTTGTGACATCTGTGGTATTGTGTTGTGTGATCAAACTACACATTTAAAGTGGCCTTTTATTGTGACCATCCAAAGGCACACCTGTAGTAATGTTTAATTAGAATCCTGATATGCCACGCTGTAAGGTGGATGGATTATCTTGGAAGGAGAAGTGCTCACTACACTGATTTTAACACATTTGCGATGGAAATTTGAGAGAAATAAATCTATGAAGCGCATAAAAAATGTCTATGTCTAGCAACAGTGGCTGCTACTCAGCAACATTTACAAAGACTTGCTTTAACCTTTAACCCTCCTCAAACAGCCTTTTAAAAAACTGAGAACTAGCCAAAAATGTCCTCACTTTTCAAATATGCATACTCCAATTGTTCCTCACATTTTAAACTGTACTAGTGGAAAAGTGTTAGTGTAAATCCAGGCAGGTAAATCATCTTAAAGACATTTATATGTAGCAGAGGAGGCTGATAATATAATTAAAACTCCTCAGCTGATGCTGCGATTTACACACAGACGCGGAGAAACCCCAGGCCTGTTATTGAGCATTGAAGGCTGTTTGATTAGACTGTGAATTACACTGGGTGTGGCTGCGGACAAATCACTGTGACTGACAGCCAGGTCAGCTGGCCTTGAGCCAGCAGCTCCTTGGCAACAGCGGCCTTGTGGTGACTTATTGGCTGGGGATAATTTACATGGGAGGGTTGCATCCTTATATCCCTTGCAAACTATAGATTTTACAGAGGAAAATATCTGCAAGAGGGGATAACAATTAGGACAGTGTGTGGACAGTGGCGTAGCATTGGAGGAGCGGGCTGCTGGGGTTTAAAACCAGGAGAAGCATGCTGGTGGTGGGAAAGCTTGTCCCCAGTGTGAACAATCCCATCCAGACTGTGCATTGTTACATGACTGCTTATCAGATAGATCAGCATTTATATAATCTGATTATCGGTAAACTGGTGAGGAAACAAGGATTGTGTGTAAAAAAAAAAAAAAAAAAGGCAGAAAAAGCACAACATAGCTGATGAATTAACTTTCAAATCATGGTTCTGAGGCCCACAATTAATCACATTGAGATTTCTATTCATTTTTCAGTCATTATTGTGTATGATATTGTATATATTTATTTGTGTCATTGCTGCAGGCAGCATTTAACATCTATAGTCTTGTTATATTTTGTTTTTTATTGTGTTAAAATATATGCTTTTGCAGAAGTTCTTTTAAAGTATAATGGAGTATCAGTTCTTTGGTCACTCATCTAATTGTTGAGCTAGGTGAAGACATGATGATGACTCCGGGTGCAGGCCCAGGATCAAGTCAATAACCTCTTTCATGACACCCTCTCATTAATCAATAAAGAAATGCCCTCCGCCTTCTGAATATAATCACACAGCTGCTTTGCACCCAGTGCATGACTCATGAGGTCGATGTCTCCCTTGTCAACACAGAGTTGTGTACAGCTGACCCTGAGACCAGCTCACAAACAGTACAGAGAAATTATTAGGACTGGTAAATTACAGAGCAAAATATGATTTGGGATTTGTTGGGTTTATCTAAATTAGCTCCAGGTAGTCTTATTTCACTGTGTTGGGGAGGTAATGGGAAACTGTAATGAGTGATATTTCACCACTGACGAGAGAACATTTCAGAGGCAGTTTAATTTAACACTTATGCTTGACACTTAATCTGTCAGGGCACGACTTGGTGTGATTTAATTAACCCTACGTGTCAGCCACACCAAGAAGAATGAAAAATACACATGTTCATTTTATATCAAAGCTACCAATGGGGGCCCTGTCTGGTTGCATGAATTCTATTTAGGCATTTTGTGCTGATGGGAACAGGAGCAGTTATATGTGGCACTTTTTGTTCTAATAGAGCAGCTGGTCCCAGAACAGTAATCCTCCAGGGGAGGCTCTGGCACAGGGCCAGCTGTGCTTTGGTCTGACGGTTCATTTAGTAGCTGGAGTCAAAAAGCCACAACAACTTGACGTCATAGACCCGTTACACAAGAGTCAGAAACACTTGTCATCTGAGACAATGTATACTGTGAGTAAGATTTACAAACAGCATGATCCTGTGTGCTGCAGTTAGGGAACACAAATCGATTGCAAGACAGGTCACTGGTGCAAATCGTCATAATAAGGATGCTCAGTGTATGGGGACAGCTGACAAATCTGCAGCCTACAGGAGAGGCAACTTAAAGACGATATTAAACCTTATGACCAGCAGGCCTCAGTGAGGAGTTAGAGTTAGGAGTAAGAGGTTTCACATCTTTTTTGTAAATCAGAGGTCTTTTCAATTTTGTTGTCAATATTATGACTGCATTGCTAATTATTTTAAATTTAATTCTGGTTAAATTATTAATTTTTTATTTTATTTAAATTTTTAGTAAATGTTTTATTATATTTTTGGGTGTTGCTGGTGTGTTGTATATTTTTGTGTATTTTATTTTTCGGATCATTTTTAACTTCAGTAAAGTGTCTTTGAGTAACATGAAAAGCACTCTATAGATAATATTTATTATTATTATTATTATTATTATTATTGTTGTTGTTATTGTTATTATTGTTATTATTATTATTATTATGTGGTTATGGTGATTATTTTATATTTTATCTAATTTTTTAAACTTATTTTTCTTTTTTAATTAATTGTTTTATATTACAAGTTCAATCTATTTCTATATTTTCGTTTTTTACTTATTTTTACTTTTTTTCATTCAATGCAATGCCATCAATCCAGTATAACTGGCTCTATGTGTGTTGCATTTCAATAGTTGTGCTTGATCTGTTTCAGCTATATGTGCATATAATGCTGCTCCCCTCATTAAAAAGGTTATACACTGAGGAAGCCATCAGACAAAACATTTCTGTTTATTACTCTTTTACACTACAACAAAATACAAATACAGCAAATGTAAACTTTAGAAGATTTTATTTAGTCTTAACGTTCAGTTGGACCTTCTTGGTTGCTTGTTAGGTACACCTAGAGATGTGATGACCTTACATTGCTTACATAATAAAGCTTTCAGAATATGTGTCCTACAGTCTATTTTTATCATAAGCAAAATCACTTTATTTGCAAAAAAACAGACCCAGAGAGTAAAAATCAGGACACACAGAACCTGTCTGTGGGACAACTCTTCATCCTGACTGCTCCAGAAATACCAGTTGTGACAGTAGACTTTGAAAGACTTACAGCAAATACCTTAAACTTGCTGCTTACAGAGCATAAACTGGGTCCCCTGTAATGGATTCTTGACAGTGTGAGGCAGACACAAACAAAATTGGGGCTACTTCCAGCAGGCCAGTCCTGTTGTGCCATGCAGCCGCTTGATGTAGGTTAACAAAAGAAACTAAATTTATCTCTGACCCAACTTCTTCACACTGAGTGCTAACAAAACGAAGCCTTTTGGACGGTCTTCTCAAGAGGACTTGAACCAAATGGTGCTGCAGAAGCCAGAGAAAAGGAGAAGAACAAGTGTAAATCAGAATTTAGAAAGAGTCTGGCACCAAACTGAAATGTAAAAAGAACAGATCAGGAAAAAGATTGTTACATCACATTGTTCTGACACTATGTTTGTCTCAGAAACAGAGAGCAGGATATGATTATTGTTCCTGCAGGAAACTCGCAGCTTTAAGTTGTCATTGTCAATTTCACAGACATTGTCACTGTTATTTCATAAGTGGATAAAGACAGAGATTTGTACTGTGACAGTTTATGATGCCATTTTTAACTCAAGAAAAATACACCCAGTAGCAAGCATGACGCCGTCTTATTCAGGCAGCACGGGACAACATGTAAGTGTATCCTACTTCTGCCACAGAAAAAAAGCCATTTTCTAGCACCAATTGATTACATGATCAATAAACTGACACATTTGCATAGTGTTAGGCTGCTGAGTTTGCAGGAGGCTCTGCGTCTATCGGATTAAAGACAACCTCGTGAATATGGTGACCTTCTTTAAGTCAGTAGGAGTAAAGATGCACATCCAATCGTACACCCCAGGAGAATCTGTTTCATTTTTACCTCAGTATTTAGATAAGAACTCACAGAGTGTGTGTAATCATACAAGTTTATAATGATTGTTTTATTCAATTCAGTACTACTTTCTAACAAGGCACCATTTATACAGGGTTTTATTAATGGTTAGTTTAATCAGTTATGAGTTATAACAACAATGCCCTACCATCATTCATATCTGCATACATGGAGGTACCATGTTTATCCCTTTCTAATAACTGGTCAAGCCTTAAAAGACTCACGTAGTCCTTAATTAGTATTATTTTTATTGATGTATTACAACATGAAGATACAAACCCTGACAAACCCAACCAAAACAAACACTCGCACACAGGGTACACAGGAAGTATTCAAGTGCGGTTCCCGTCCAGATGCACTCATTGAGTCCAGATATCCATCCATCCATCCAGATATCCATCCATCCATTTTCATAACCGCTTATCCTCTTGAGGGTCGCAGCTGACTTTGAGTGAGAGGCAGGGTACACCCTGAACAGGGCCGACACATAGAGACAGACAACCATTCACACTCACATTCACACCTATGGACACACTTCGAGTCACCAATTAACCTGCATGTCTTTGGACTGTGGAAGCCAGAGTACCTGGAGAAAACCCATGCTGACAGGGGGAGAACATGCAAAGTCCACACAGAAGGGCTCCCTCCTGGAGTCGAACCAGGAACCCTCTTGCTGTGAAGCGACAGTGCTAACCACCACACCACCGTGCCGCCCCTGAGCCGAAATATCCCCATTTCTATTCACATTTTGGATAATTAAATCACAGTTTTTTCCATGTGAATGACTGAAACAAGTTCACACAGCCAGTTTCTGAAGCATGATGGATTTGAGCCATTCATAAATAATTATTTTTTTAAATTCTTTTAAATTTTAGTGCTGCTTATTTGTGTATATATTCTGTATATTTCAATATTCTCATATTCTATTGTGATCTGTTTTTGTCTTCTTGTATTTACATGTATGTTACTGTCCACATAGTGTTTGATTACTTACTGCTGTAACACAAGTATTTCCCAGTTTGGGATCAATAAAGTATTATCTAATCTTAATTAACGATAAATACTATAGCAAAAATCCTGCAGTAAAAAAAAAAGTCTGCAGTAATAAATATTAATAAAGTAATGGTTGTTGAGTATTTTCCCCAGCTTGGCAAAGGTTGATCTTAATAATGGCCTGTACAGTAACTGATGTATAAATTAGCCTATAAGCAAAGGATTTATCACCCATTAATGAAGACATACATCTTAATAAAGGAAGCCTTATTAGAAAGTGGTTCCTTTAATTCTTGAAACTGTTTCTGTGTATGTAATCTGATTTTATTGCTTTGCGTGTGCACATATTTGTAACATCTTTCTTTGTCTCAGTGTGCGCTCCGAGTGCAGATTTTGCGCGCGCACGTTTGTGAGCGCTCGTGCCGGTGGAGCCTACAGTGGAGTCAAAGCGCAACGGGTCCTCAAATAGAGCTGGGCTGTGGAGGGAAAGAGAGAGGCTTACAGGGACGGAGAGAGTTGGACGGTCTGTGTGTGTGTGTGGAGGGAAACATACTGACGAGGATGAAAAAGTAGATCCTGCATCTCTCACCTGAAGTTTGATTCAACCACCAGCAGAAGCAGCGGCGGTGCTCCATGAGCGGAAAAACGAAAAGCAAAGAGGATAAAGACAATGCCGCCAAGGGTGAGTGATGATGAACCCGAGTCGAGTGTGATCTTGTGTGTTTTTTCTCTTTATTGTGAGAACAAAAGAGGGAATGTTGGGTTTTATGATGATGCTTAGATCATCATGTTGGCCACTTCTTCCCATTGTCCCCACAACCCAGAGCACAGGGCACAGAAACTGGACTACTTTTAAATATCATTGGCATACGTTTCAAAATAAAGGATATAAAAAAGTAAATTGTATCTCGAAATTATAATAATAACTGATGTAAACTACATATTTTCTCTGTACGAGTCTTCAGTTTACAGTTTATTTTAAAGGAGGAGACCCATAACCCTTTCATGCTGCTAGGCTCCATTGTGCTCAAGATGAAGCATCCGATATATGTCTGTATTATAAAATCACTGACACAGGCTGTTTACCCCACAGAAGGCTCTCTGGGTCTCAGATGTAATTTCAGCGGCGCGCACACACGAATTCATTTTCTCCCCTCTGGACAGCAATAAAATCGACGCGCGGTGGACATCGCAATGGAAACTGGGAAACTATCATTGCCATGGAGACAAAAAAAGGGTGTTGCCCGCCTTATCTATGCATGAGACCCGTATTCATTCACAAAAAAGCAAAGAAATGCAGCGTACAGGGATGTTTTTTTTATTTTTATAAAAGTGCAATGGGATGAGGTCCATATATGTAAATACAAAAAAATAAAATAAGCTTAAAAACATGGTGAGAAGCGTTTCTAGTGGAGGGTTTAAGTCCTCCTAAGCTGGGTTGAGCTAACTCAGCACAAACACAGTGATGTATGCCACAGCATGGATCATACAGTAGGGAAATCAAGACTTTAGGTATTCAAAATATGATCTTATGCCATCGGAAAAAGCATGTTTTCTCCCTAAAAATCCAAAATTGTAGTCGCCGTTTCTTTGCATTATTCTTTGCAATGATCTTAAGTGTAGGTTTTAGTAGGCCTATTAAATATAGCATTTATGATGAGGAGTTTATTTGTGTTGTAAATCTTCTGCCATCATTATGTCTAAAGATGCAGCAAACTAAACACAGAGATAAAGTTTGAAGACAGCAGTTGGCCTTTGCAGATTTTTACTGGAAGAAACTGTGGTAAAAATACTGGACAAGTAATTTAGTATCAATGATTACACATCAAAAATGAGATTCCATAAACAAGATTTAGGCAAAAATGAGATGAACTACTGGATTCAAATAGTCAGACAGTCACATAGTTTCCTCCTGGCATGAAGTGTCTCCATATGAGGTAAAACAGTTATTAATCTTTTAAATTATACATACAGTCCACAAAAGTAAAAATCAAGAGTGAAATACATATCATCAAAATCTGCATTTGCTAGAAGTTGTGCCTTTAAAAGTAAAATGTTTAAGCAGACATATGAGTATATTGATGAGAACCCTGATGCAGTTGGTGGACGTACAGCTCATACAGTGAGGAAGAGAACAGTGGAGACATGTTTGTAGTTGTGTTTCTGAGAAGCTGGGTAGAACTGGAAGAAATACTGGATTTAAATGCTGGTTGTGCCCCAGGCAAAGATGAACTCTTCCCAAGAAGACAGAAAACACTAATGTGATAACAGGTTAAAAATAATCACATTTGTATATGCCCCTTAAGGTTTGCGCAGAGATGCTTGTGTGACTGCAGTATACAGAGGTCATGTACGGGGCTAGGCTGAACGCTGCTTTTTAACATAGGTGTGGCATTTAACCAGACCTTCATTTACAAACCAGCGTCTTTTCACTTGTAAAACAAAAAATACTGTTTGAAAACACCACAAGTTTTCTTCTTTGCTTATTGTAGTGCACTAAGAGGGAGGATAACACCAAGTTGGTAATAACTGGCCACATGGGGCAACAATGAGCCCATTTCACATCCAAAAACAAACTTTGACGTGCAACATAAAGGTGAATGTTTTGGTTTGACAAGAGAAAAGATGCCAAAGATGAAGTTTAGTTGGTTTGGCAAGTGTGCATCTGTTTAACAATCTTACCTCACTGAGCTTTTCAATGGGATCTTCTGAGACAGTACCAAACGAGGCTGGCTTGGCAGTATACTTATCCCAGAAAAACTTGAACAGATTACAAATCAACAATCAAAAAATCAAAAATAACTAGAGATTAGATCAGGCCAGCTGCAACGTCGATCTGCTTCTTCAAAGTGTTGTTTGTGACTCTGGAGACAGACAACAGATTGTTGAGTCTCATACCTAGGTCTTCAGATACTGATGTTTTGGGTTGGTGGTTCCGTCCGACTACCAATCCACAGCCTTGGTATTTGACGACCTGGGAATGAGACTCAATTACCTATATCACCTGTATTTCTCCAGAATTAGCACCTTTAAAACAAATGTGTGCCAGGGGAGTGGGGGCGGGGATGGTGATGGCGGGTGGGGGAGGGAAATTAACCTTTTCCATTGCAATGGCTCCTTCTCTACCTCTAGCCCCCCTACTTCAAGTGCTTTAGCTCAGACCACACCCATCTTTAAAATAGGGCTTCATTATGATCTCAGTTACACACTTGAAAAGTTTCATGACTGCATCTTGCATGATTGTAATGAGGTTGATAGAATCTGTTGACAGGTGGACAGACACAAAAAACACCCTGCAAAGTGCTCATAACTACTTCTGTGGTAGGTCCTGCTACAATAGGTTTCACCAGAACCATATTTTGCCATGATGACACACACACCCAGAACCCTGCTCTTCCAGCCAGTATTAAAACAAATACCTACAAATAAAGCTACAGCAAGTCAGTATTTTATAGGTCACAGACCTGTAAGGCTGGATGTCACAGTTAAACTTCGCTGAGCCAGCAGGGGTTGCTATAGCAACAAAATGCTCAACTTAAACTAACAGCTGCTGGCAGACTAGTAATAAACCTTATTTATGGTAACCTTTACTCATAAAGCACCTTTTAAAAGGATACCAAGCAAACACATCAATAAACAGAGAAAGCAATAAAAGCGAGGCAATAAACACGAGGGGGTGATTTATAAGATGATACATCCACTGAGGGGCCGCAGCAATAATAAGCTCTGTACACTGGAATGGATTCCAGTACAACAGACCTGTAATGAATAAAGTCTGCCTTTGTGACACCAAATATTGTGACAACAAATATTAGACCTTAGTATAATGCTGCCCAGTGCAACCTCAGCACATACCATATAGTCTCAATAAACTGTATTTGTTCAAGGGCTAATACATTTCTTTACTTTGTACAGGCGTCTTTATGTTTTGCTCAGTGTATCGTGAGCCTGAACTAAAAGACACCAGCGATGTTTGCTCTTACGATCACAGAAATACTTCAGGTCTGATGTACTTTTTGATTAAAATATCTTCAGCAGTGACTCACTCCCCCTCGGGTGGACAGACATGCAGCGGTATATGTCACCTTGCTCTGGTCTTTATATAATAATAGTGGCATTAAGGATTAAGTTTGGGTAGAACAAGAACTCATTAACATCTTGTTCTTAAAGAGATTAGGCTTATAAATGTGGATTAAAACTACTTATGCCTTTGCATGCGGGTGTGTGTGTTTCAGTGTGTGTGTGTGCGTCTGTATGTGGACACACAAATAAGCAGCAGGAGAGGATTCACATCGTTAATTAACCCTGATTGTGACCCAACGATATGGCAGCAGAGGTCAACATTGCACAGCAATTAAAGGCCCGTCCAAAAGATCAAGCCCATCTGACTTTTCACTGATGAAGTGATGTCAGCATGTCGTCCAGAAGTAATGCACTACATGCACTAATGAGCACAAAACTAATGAGCGGACTTTGGTGATCGCCTGCCGTTTACAGCACCATAGTCAGGTCAGAGTTTCAATGTGTTTTGGTTAGATGTGTTTATGAACACATATCTGCATAACTAATGACACTCCCATCAGTCTCAACTGTGCTCTGTGCTCAGCAAATGTTAGCATGCTAACGCATTAAACTAAAAAGGTGACCATAATAAACATGACTGTATACCTGCCGGACCTCAGCATGCTAGAATTATTGTGAGCATGTTAGCATGCTAATTTTCGCATTTAGCTCAAAGCAGTGCTGTGGCTGTAATAGAGTGCTGCAGGGATGATGATTTTTTTTGTAGGCCATCTCAGAAGTTAAAATTGCCCTGGTTCTCTAGACAAGAAGCCAGTCCATTACATTTTTGATTATTGCAAAAAATAGGCGCTGTTGCAAACAAAAGTTTATGATACTCACACATTTGTGGTTACAATGGAGGAAAGAAGCACTGCTCGGCTCTGATGGCTGGTCCGACAGATGCTCTTTGGTGAGGCAGGTAAAAGTATGCAGACAACCTTGGGGGAAAAAACAAACACCACTTTAATGGTTTTTGAAACTTAAATGCATTCAGTAAGAAGCTAACATTAGGCTATAAACTAACTGTAACATGGTTGCATGACTTTCAATGTTGCCAGTGCAACGAGACTGTAAAGCTGTGTTCAGCATGATGGCATTTATTGTCCCCGACAACCTCTGTTGTCTCATTAAATTACTTGTAAGCAACCATTTTGAACCTCATTTTGTGTGGCATTTTTGCATCTATTAATGGGACAGCCAGACAGAGGGGAAAGTTGGGAGAGAGAGGGAAGACGACATGTAGCCAAGAGGCATGGGTCAGAATTGAACCTGCGCCGCTTTTTAACGCACATAAAAGCTTCAGAATTCAAAAGTGGGATATTTACTGACATATTTCTTTGTCTTAGAACAACATGTAAACATTTCTTAAAACCGCAGACCTTAATTCAGGCATCTAACCAAAAACCCATTCAATAAACCCATTGACTCTGAAACAAGAGAACCAAAATGCTAACTCATTTCCAGGGTTCAAGCTCATTCCATCATCACCCTATCTAGCATCATAAAGCTGATTGTGAGGCTGCAGACTTGATTTTTTATTATTACACATTTTGTCCCCCATAACAACTTTTAATTGTCTCATAATTATGACTTTCTAAAATTATTTTTAGATCATGTAAAGATTATGTTTCCCATTATGGCATATCACTGACAGACACAATATTCTGGTATATTTGCACCAACTAATTCATATTACCTCCTGTCCACAATTATTGTTACTACCCTGAAATTATTTTCATTTGTTGGTTCTTGGTCACCAGGAGGGCAAAATGGCTATGGCTCCATAATTTCAGAGTACAATGTGTGATGTGCTGAAATCAGTGGAAAATTTCATAGCTGTTATACCTTAGTTGTGGCTCCTGGTGATAAACTAGTCCATATTTTGTCCTGCCTCATGCTACAATAGATATTTTCCGTCATAAACTGGGACTCCTGGCAGTTTGAGAGTATGGATAAAAATAGAACTGTGACGGGGATGTGAAGGAGCTCTCAGTGCAACAACACCTTATGTCTGTAGTCGACTAGAAGTCAGTCCTTAAAGCTACAGTTGGTAACTTTTATGAAAATGCCACTGTAATCTGAAAGAAGTACATGTGCCATATGATATGCGGGAAAAAATCATGTTCCTCCTCTTTCTACTGCCTCTAATAGCATTCACTTGAATGAGATTGTGATGCGGTCAGGTCAGGAACAACAAGCAGAGCCAAGGAGACTTGGCTGCAGCTGTCAATCACTGTTTATGAACTGCGGTCAAACTGTCAAACCAGGCAGCGCTGAGTAAATATGAATAGAGATACTGTTACTGCATTATTTATTTATTTTTAGTGTACTCTTCAGCTGTGAAATGCTGGTGGATTTGGTACTTGATTTAACCGTATCCAACATGGCGGCCTGGTCACAATCTTTCTCATATTAAAGTACACTAAAATATGTTTATGAAAATATTAAAGGTGAGAAACAGGTAATGGAATAACAGAATCTTGATTCATGTTTGATCATCGCTGCCTTGTTTAACAGTTTGCCCGCAGTTCAACAGCTGTGACTGACATGACTGAATCTGTGTAAGAGACAGCTCTGATTGGTTGTTTTTGATCACATGCAAGAGGGACATTAGAGATGCTACAGTGCAATAGATTAGGCAGAGGAGTGCGATGTTTTTCACAGATTACCTCTCATTTAATACTGTGTGAAGTAGAAGTAGTAATAGTGTGGCAGCGATCAGACCCTTAAATAAGATAGGTAGAGACAGTGAATTCAGGTATGAGGGGTAGCAGACTGTGCACAAGAGAGTAAAGGAGATAACATGATGGCTCAGATACAAAAAGATTTTATTCTGAGCTTGTCATTACCCTTTCACCCTTGTACACACACTCACAATTTCCTCAGTCTCCCCTTTTCTGTTATCTGATATATGGCTCCATCTAGTGGCTAATAATGTGAATCACTGGCTGTGAAAGACAGCTGATGCACTCCAAAATCTGATGGGTGACTTAATCGAGTCCTCCCCCCTATCCCAGTAGACTACAGCTATTGAATACTGGCTACCTGCCCAGGCTGTTGGGTTAGGAACCTTTGCCAAAACGTACCTGCTGGCATCTTTGTGGTTTGCTATTTCAAGCCAAGGCTACAAAGCTATTCTGGGAGGTGTTAGGTGTTTTGTTCAAAGCTGGAATTGTGTTTTACTTCAGTTGAGATGAACAAAAGAAAGACAGATGGAAAAGAAATGTGACCACAGGTACACAATGACCCATCATTGATCCATCTGCTTGAACTAATAGAGTTATTTCCTCATCACAGGAAGCCATAGCATGATGATACAATTATGTGGGCATGAACTACAATTAAATTGATTCCCTGAAAATATTTCTTTTTGTAGCCTCACAGAGATTTGGGAAAATCAGAATGAGAAGCACATTTATTTCAAAGATTTTTTTTCTCAGATAACTTTGATGTTTCTTTTTCTATTAGCGTTACTTTTCAAGTTGCTGAGTGTGCATGTTCCCCAGCAACATCCTGCTTCACTGCCTTCAATGGCTTTTATAGGCTCCTATACTGCAGCATGTGCAGCAACAGACACTCTGCAATCTGGAATACTCTGTGTATCATCTAGGTAATATGGACGCTGCTGTGTTTTAACAGGCTGCTTCACAGGAAGCACAGGAACAGCACAACAATGTAATGGGCTGATATTATACAGCTATAGAGTGGCCATGTAGACTGTGTGTTTTAATCTGGACTGGCAGCATTACTCTGACTGTGGGTACTATGATGGTGTGCATTGAGGATAACCCATGGAGAGAGATGTGATGCATTAGGTGTATGCATTGTGTGTGCTATGTGAATTCATCTCTATTCTAAAAATCCTTTGAATCAAGCTGGTTCTTTTTGAAGTTTAAGAAGTGTTAGATGAGTGATGTAATCTTTTTTTTTATAATTGGAGCCTGAACATGCAGTTTTGATGTTGTTTAAATCAATAGTTCTAAACCAGGGGTCCGGGGACCCCTAGGGAGGAAGTTTCAGGGTGTCCCTAAAAAAATAGGAAATAGTTTATTTTCACTATTTAACTCACTATAGATGTGAGCCCAGTGGGAGTTAAAGTCATAAGAGTGACTATTCTGCTCCACAGTTACTCAACTGTGGTTGACAGTGATAGTGTTCTGGTTTTAATCATATCTAACAACCACAATCGCTTTAAGATGTAGGTTCCTGAAGTGAAATCTTATCAAAAAGGGGTCCATGACTGAATGCTTATCAATTTAGGGGTTGAGAACCACTGGTTTAACTCATCTTATTCCAGTGTGAAAGCCTCTTATGTTATCTGTACCATCTGGTATCAGCTCTTCATTGAAGTTATATGATGTTTAAATTGAGTGGAATATTCATGCTTTTTATAGTTGAACCGTTCTGTCAAATGGAAATAGTGTACTGACTGAGTGCATCGTTTCATCTCTATTTCCCCAAAATTCAGCCCATCATATTTGGTATCTTTGGAAAGTTGAGATCTCTGCTAAATTATAATTATAGCTTTGGGGGAAAAAAGGTTAGATTGGAGGCAGTTTGAAGGTAATGACCACAATTAACTGTGTCACTGTGTTGTAAATTGTGAAAAGTGCTACAAATTGCTGTTTTACCAAGTTTGTTATATTGTTAAGTATATGTTAAGTTAATTCACTTTACCTGTCTTTGGCAAAGTGAATGTCATCGAGCTTTCCAACCCAATCACCAGAACTGCAAACCATGGATACATTACATTTGTATGTTATTATGTAGTGGATATATTAATAATTTATATTTCTTGATGTTTCAACAAAGCTGTGGTTAACATGTGGGTAGGTTTAGGCACAAAAACAGCCTGGTAATGATTAGAAAAAGATGATGTTTAAAATAAAAATACCCATTTTTGATGGCACAAATGCTGCTGTACTGTGTATATATAGCAATGTCTCTGTAAAGAACAGCACTTTGTGAGGCACTATCCCAGTGAAAACACAGCAATGAGTTGCTAAAAAATAACCAGTTCTATTGTTTGCTGGTCTTGAACAGTGGTCTGCAGCCATCTTGCCTAAGTGTCATCATCCCCTCCACCTCCCAATGAAATTATGATACATACTTTAGAAATCATATGATATGTGTGAAACATACACATGTAACATATCTGTGGTTTGCAGAAATGCACAATGCCAACATTTTTTGGAGACCAGCCAAGTTTCTTAGTCTTGTTCCTTTTCTGTTGAGACTTTAGTCGAGGCACTGTGTGCAGTAAATCATAATCACAAAGTCAACACTTTACACTTGAAAGTCATTCAGTGCTGCAGCTCTTACAGAGGCTTACAGAGAGTTGATCTGAAATGTTTGGTTGATGAACTGATTAGTAGGCAGAGTAATAACTGCCATCTTTTGTTTTCTTTCTGAAAACTGAATCATTGTTATGTTATTTTCATGCAAAAATGCCAAACATGTCCTAGTTCCAGCCTCTAAAGTGTGCTTTTATTTGTGTTATTCAGTATTAAATGGAACTAAGGTTGGTTCAAGTTTGGTTTCGGAGTGCTGGCAGGGGAAAACATGCAATTTAATGACATGACCTGAGGCTTTAAGAAATTATGATATTTATGATATTTAAAAACTATTTTCTCACATTTTATGGACTAAGCACTTCCTCAAGAGTATAGATTAACTGATGATGGATTAATCCTTAGATGCAGGGCTAAACTAAGTTTTCAGATCAACATAAGGCAGTTTACTGACACTGCAACAGGGTAAAAAAAAAGTCTTAGAAACACTAAAAATTTAAATCTGACAGGGATGACGTGACTGTTGTGTTTAGGTTTCCGGATCAAATTTATGTCTGCATGTACTGAGAGCTTACTCAGATGAAAACAGAGAGTTCCTACAAGTAGCACAGTAATACTCACACTTACAAATACTCACACAGACTCACAGACACACGCACACACTGCTTCCTCGATAGATCCTTGGATTTGGGAACGGCCTTCTGGCTCCCTCCCTCTCTTATTGTGCCAGATCAGCGGGGCCTTGAGATGAATCATTAATGACCGGTTCCAACGGCTTAATGGCCTCTAATGTTCTGTAATGATCTCCCGTCAACGCCATGTGCGCGGCCTTAATGGATCCAATGCCGTGGAGAATTCTCCGGTTTGAACTTCAGTAATTCCTCCTCTTTTAGTCGAGCAGCACACAACAGGAAGTGCGAAAAGCCATGAGCACAAGACTCCAGAGCTCCACGGGCGCAGCATGAGTTTCCCTCTCCGCCGATCGACCTCAGGTAGGACCGGGGGAATGGTCTGAAATGACGAGATTTGACCCGGCCTATGGCACGGAATTCTTACAGAAAGCTGCACGAATATTGGCACAAGTCGGGGCTCTGTGCGTAATATGCTTTGGGAATAGGCTGCTAGAGGGGAGACGGGATAAATGTACAATTAAGTACAAGGAGGTCAACAGAAGTCTCCAGAGGGACTTCTCTAAAATACTGCCTCTGTGCTTTCGTTGATGTTACAGATTCAGTTTGCTTTCAACCTCAACCTGTTCTTTAAATATTCAATTCTCAATTATATAAAGCTGTGTTTGAATTAAAGCCATCATTTCAGAATTAACTATAACGTGTTTTTAACTCAATTAAAATTTGCATCGCTGTCCGTGGTGCTGAAAGCTGCGCCGGGCGCGCCCTGCTGCTGACAGGCTGCTCGACTCTAAACACTTTTATTAGATGCATGCGCTCATTTGCAAACATTCATAATGCATGCACTGTTATTCAGGCTCTAAATATTGTTCTGCTGCATCATTTGCAGCCTTGAGAGTACATTCAGCTCTGAAGCATTTCAGGAATTGAGATCTTGAAGTGGTGTCAATGTCCTGTGCACACTCACAGGGCAGATTTCACTACTATAACTTTTTAAAAAATATGATAGAAGTTAAAAGAACACAACTTCTGGTCTTATTTTGGGAGCGATGATTAAATTTTTCAGTTGGCTTAACATGAGTTTACACCAACGCCCTCAAAGACCCTGAATCAAAAGGCTAAGCTTTTGGCACTAATCCCTTTACTGCCAAAATCCATGCGTGGCGGTTTCTCACAGTCTACCAAAATTATATATATATTTATATAAAGTGTCCCAAATTTGATTCAAGCTTCTTCAGTGCTGCTTTTGATGCTTTGCCTTCTAAAGGCCTCAGCGGTTTGTTGCAAAGTGTTTTACTCTATAATGAACGCAGCCATATGCTGCTGGCTGTCTGATCATACTCTAACTGGCATTCATGGTTAGACTGTCACACACAGCAGGGCTCTTTCTGGATATTTGCTGTAAATACTGTAGTTTTTTTTTTTTAAGTCAAATTCTACTGCCTGTAGGCGGCGCTATGGAGCTCCAACCAAAACCTTATAGCAGTTTCTAATAGACCAGATACACCAGCACAGATTTATCTTCTATTTACAATCTATATAAACTTTAATATGTTTATTCCGTACTCAATCTATTCACTTATTTAATGGGGATATTTTTAAATCCTGGAAATCAATCCCTTTCTAATTCTCCCCTCTGTGTTCTTTGGCCGCTTATTTGTCTGCATTGATTCAAGTATTGATTGATGTGTTTTCTGTAACATTTCAAATTATTCAGTTGATTTAAGGCTCAAGGCTGAGAGCTGCAGGTGTTTGTGTTCCTCAGAGTCACCTTGTTTCCGGCAGCTTGCATTGTTACACTTTGTTACCCTTTGCTTGTGTGGCTTTTGCTTTTAGGGGGCACGTGGTGTGGGTTTAAAAGCAAGGAGCTCATAAATGAAAGATGAAGGCCCGGCTTTCAGTCATTTCATTACAGTGGCTGCGCGCGTTTGCTCTCATATTTTGATGTTTTAGATGACATCACAGATTGGTTATGGAATATTTTAAGTGTCGTGTCTCTCGGGGAACGCAGGGCCTGTGGGCTGAGCTGTGCACTAACACCTCAACTATATTTATCTGTATATTTACAAGGGTCTTACCTAACCAGGAGGCCTTGGTGTAACTTTAACTCCTTCGAGTCAAGGACAGGCTAAACGCTCCACTTCAGTGACCAGGTCCTGACCCCAGTTGCACGGTCCATCACTCTCTCCTCCACCCAGCGAGCTACAGCTTACTGAGTTTTCCTCCCCTTCAGTCATGTAATTTACTGCTCACCACATCCTCCTGCTCTCCAGCCATCGATTTCCACTACCTTTTCCACTGGTGAATGGCATGCACTGGCTCTGCATGCTGCTGCTGTGGCGCCAGATGCCACAGGTCCACCTCCGCTGGGAGTCACTCGGCTCTTTTGTCCGTCGCCTCGTCCTCCTCGAGACCACTTGGAGTTGCAGTTGCCATGCGCCGTTGCAGCTGTATCTGCTCCCTGACAGCTGTGCATCTGTTTTCCTGCGGGGGCTTTGCCCGCGGCCAGTCGACACGCACGAATTGGGTGATTGCTGCTGCATGCGTGCATCTGCTCTGGTGCGAATGCAAAAAGGGGGGAACATCCAGAAACCGACACATCCGGACTGAAGTGCTGTCTCCGTTTTTCACCTTCTTGCACGCTGCAGCCTTTCAGCAGTGGTGAACCTCTGCACCAAAATAAGATGAGAGCCCCTCCTTTCTCCCCTTTCTCTCTCTCTCCCTCACACACACACACTCACCAGGTCTCTATCTCTCTTCAATTACTGTCCCTGCACTTCATTTACCTTTATCTACACTCCTCCATTTGTACTTTATTTCTTCATGCCTCCGCACACATGTAATATCTCCTGTCTTCTTTCTCCACTCTCTCCCACTCACACACTCACTCAATATCTCACTGGCTCCTTTGCCTCTCCATTTTTTCCTCCTGTGTTTCATTCATCTTTCTCTTCTCCCAATCCATTTGTAGGGTGTGCATTTTCCACTTGCTTCTCCCCCTCTCCCTCTCACTCCCTCACTCACACTCAATATCTCATTTTCTCCCTGCCGCCCCCCTTTTCCATTATTCCTCCTCTCATTAATTCACCTGTCTGTCTCCTCTCTCCCTCTTATTTCGCTGTTTATTTTTTTTTTCACCCCGCCTCCTATATTACACCCCCCTCCACACACACTCCCCTCCCTCCCCTCCATCTCAATCTCCCTGCCTATCACACATAAGTATTCAGTGAACATGTAAATATCATGCCACGTGGGGTTCAGGGCTACAGGTGCCCTGTGAGGAAGAGCTGACCTAACGCCCCTCATTGCACCCCAACGCCACAACACCCCCCTCCACACACACACACACACACACACACACACCACCACCACCACCACCACCACCACCACCACCACCTCCTCCACCCCCCTCCTCGTTCTTCTTCCTCGGGGCGGGCAGGGCTGCAGCAGTTTTATGAACGGCACGGCTGCATCATGATCCTTTTCCCACTGAGCCAGCCCCGAGCTGTTTCATTGACAAACATTCCGGTTGCTGCATTTCTGTCACGGACAGCGTCGAGGAGCGGAGCATCGCCGGGGGAGCGGTGCAGAGCAGCAGCAGCAGAAGCAGCAGCAGCAGCAGCAGCACAAGAGGAAGCAGCAGCTGCAGTCATCATCAACAACAACCCCCGGTGTCGTTCGCACCAGTTTATAAGCTGTTGATTCGCCACTTGGACCCGGACTGGATCCTCGCGCACCCCCCCTCACCTCCCTCCGCGCTCTCTCGGGACAGCCAGAAGAATCACCTGAGGGGGGGATCAGACAGCTTTTGCCCCTGGGGGGACGTGAGGCGGCGTCGTTAACGCTCACTCACTGGCACATTACTGGATTTGTTTAACGACTTCCACATGAAGCGCCCGGACGCACCGATGGAGGATTCTGGACGCTTTTGTAAAGCACGGATATCTGCGAGACTGCAGCGGCCGGTGTGTGATGCGAACTGAGCCGTGGGTGGTGTAGACCCCCTCCCCGCACCCCACACACCCCCACCGCCTTATCCACGTACACCCCCCATCCCTCCCAACCGGGACGCACAGTCTTGTTTCACTCCACCGGGGGAACATGTCCCGGGCAGCGGCTATCGCCAGCTCCCTGATCCGCCAGAAGCGGCAGGCGAGGGAGCGAGAGAAGGCAAATGCTTGCCGCGGCAGCGGCAGCCCGAGCAACAGCAAAGGCACAAACGAGAAGCCGAGCAAGCTGAACGTGTTCTCGCGTGTCAAATTGTTTGGATCGAGGAAGAAACGGAAGAGGAGGCGACCACCAGGTCTGAGAGTGTGGGAGAGAAAAGTGGGGAAGCCACGGGCTGCACCACCACCTCAACCATCTTCACCACCAGCAGCGGCAGCAGCAGTAGCAGCATCATTACCATCATCACCACCACCAACCAACACCATTTTCTCTCATCACTGAGGCTGGTCCTTCATCACTTCATCATTCATCAGCTTCTGGATAGTCTCCTCCTGGCAGGGGCTCAGGAATTAATCCTGTTGCATGACACCACAAACATCACGTGTGAATAACTTTGTGTTGTCCCACAGCCAAGTGTTGTAGCAGTGTGTGTCTGTGGTAGCTGACGGAGATCTCAGGGAAAAAAAACAGGCTCCTAATTTCAGCAGTGCTTGCGCTACTTGTGTTATCATGTTACATCTGTCAAGTGTTCTTTGATTTGTATGTGCGACACAGTGCACAGGGGTCAGGGATCGACAGCGGGCCCTCAAGGCCCAGTGACTGGAAATATAAACGGCCTCTCCTCCTCTGATTCTTCCGTCTTCTCTGTGACTGCTGGATATGACACATGTGAAGACATGACAGTGATAAGGAGTGAATGCAGCTAATGTGTCTTCTCTCCTTCTCTCAGAGCCCCAGTTAAAGGGCATTGTGACCAGGCTTTCCAGTCGCCAGGGCTTCCAGCTGCAGATGCAGCCTGATGGCACCATTGATGGAACCAAGGATGAAGACAGCACCTATGGTGAGTCTAACTCTGGCCTCTGGACAGAGAGGAAAATTCTATTGGCTGTCCAAATTTTATCTATGCCCACTGATTTTCTTCATTTGCCAGCTACTTAAAAATCTGCTTGGGCTGCAACTAATGATCATTCTCATTTAAGGTTAATCTGCTGCTAACTTTCGACTAATGGGTTCATTGTTTTGGATTAAAATACCATAAAATAGTGAAAAATGTCCATCCTATTTTTCCCAACGGCCAGGTCACATATTCAAAATGCTTGTTTTATCTGACCAAAACCCAAAGTTATTTAATTTACTGTCGTATATGACAAAGAAAAGCATACAATTATCGCATTTGAGAAACTGGAACAAGCAAATGTTTTGTATTTTTAATTTGGAAAATGGCCAAAACAATTCTATTGTTGTTGTTATTATTGCAGATACAGTTTCTGTTGATCCGATCAATGAATCAACTCAATGTTTCAGCTCTGAAATCAGCTTTAATGAGCTTTAGTTATCATAAATAGAACCAATGACAAATGTGTGTTACTCTAACACTAGTCTCAAAGCCAGACTTTGTTTTGGTGTTGTTTCTGCACTGGAGAAAGGTTTGGCTTAGTGCTTCTACACTAAGGGAGGAAAAAGCTCTGTGTTGTTTGTATTTCTTTTAACCAATCACAATCGTCTTGGGCGGCGTAAAGCCCAGGATGCAGTGATGGTTGGTGCTCTTGCAAATAGTGTCAGGAGAGAACTTGTTTTGGTGGAGAGGCAAGTGCTGGCATTAAAATGGCTACATCCCCACAAACATAAACACCACATAAAACATTAAAAGCTGCCTCTAGGCTGCCAGTTCAAAGATTGTGTTTGGTGTTTTACTGTTTACCATCCTGTTCTAGTAAAATGAAATGAAAATTAGTGACAGCACAGGTTGACTCACAATCAGTCTTTAGACCTCAATTTGCTGCACTTATAAAGCAAAGGAAGATTAAAAAGGAATAAACACATTACTGTACAGCAGAGAGTGAAACCACACTTTCTTTTAATCTTAATATGAAATATTACTTCAAGGTAAAATAGAACAGCAACACATTAAAGGTTCAATTTCCAGAAACATCTGATTTGGTTTAATTCTCATTTATCCACTTTGGCGTTATCATCCGAAACCAGTTTAAATCCAATTTAATGATAAACTTCATTCTGTGGAAATCTGTCTGATGTGGGAATTTAATCTCAAACAGTCGCTCAGCAACATGTCAAGTGTTCATTTAATTAGGAAACTGGTGGCCGCTTTTCCTCCGAATGTCGGATGGTATCGTGGCAATCTATCCGTGTTATGTTTCCTGCTTAAAGTAATCGATTACATATCCACAGGATACACACGTTGCAAAAGATACCGGGGGTTGAGCTGATCCAGTGAACAGATCCTCTCTTGCTTGCTCAATCTCTCACACACAGGCCACAACAACGTGTGATTGATACGGCTAATTCAATCCTGTTGTTGTGCTTCAGACAGCAATCACTCTCCTTCTTGTGCGCAGTTGGTGTTGCCAGCGTCTCGCATTAATCTGCTGTTCCTTCTCAGGCCACCAACTGTTGTGTGTACAAAGAGAAAGACGTGGCTACAAAGGCAGCGTGTTCTCTAATTACATGATTACATGGCGTGTACATCATGTAGACGCCCACCCACGTGAAATCAGTGCACCGTGACTGGGTTTCAATGGATAATCCATGTAATCCACATCTCCATATAACCGCAGTCATTATAAAAAAACATGGTTGGCCAAATGAGTGTAATTAAATGAGGGCCTGGCTCATCAAATTGCCTGGAATAATTATGTCTCTGCTACAGAGCTTTTACTGTAGAAACATATAAATAACAGTTTTGCTTGTGCCTGCTGAATGCACACCAGCGGAGAAAACAACAAATATGATCGATAGTATCAGAGTTGCGACGCTTCGATACACCCAAAATGGTTAGGCCAATGTGATGCAACTTTAAACTCATTTTGTTGCCACTGTAGATGCTTTCTGTTCATCCGACACGCATGGGCAGACCTTTAAATTAGGACTTAATGTCATACAGTATTCACTGTAACGTATTAAGTGTGGGACCCAATCAGCTTAATGTTGTTTGAGGAGATTATGTTTATTAATTGTGCTGTAGCACTCACATGAAAAGCCATTGTCAAAGTACCCTGAACCTTGTAGTGTCTATAAGCCTGGGATTCTCCTGCTTACATGTTAGGAAGTAGGAATAAGTCCTGGGAAGATTAGATGATTGATAGAAACAATCTGGTCATTGCTTGCTCTTATTTCAGCTTCCGCAATGACTAATATAATTGACCATGTTTACATAGCTGTAAAGTAATCCGGGTAATCCGATAAACAAGTCCTAACATGTCGTTTAGCCCGTAAAATATAGAAAACTGGAACGGCTGATGCTTGAGCCAGGATTTTGTCAAAGTTTCCCACTGATGGCCGACTTGTTAGACTGCAAATACAACCTCCATCCTTCATTCCTTCAACCACCTTCTTGAAATGGTCATCGTTGTGATATCGGCGCATAAAAACCTGTTGATATCAAACTTGAAGTAGGTGTGTTTCTCCCTCTGATCAAAAATCGTGGCTTTTCTTTTGGGCATGCTTCTTTACTCTAGCCTTGGAAACTCACGATAAGTTGGTGGGTGCACAATGTATCCATGACAACACTCAGAGCTAAACGTAAACAAGCAAGAGGCCGTGTGTCGCCAAGTGCGTTAATAACCCCACTTGAGACGCATATCCCAAATGCACTGTTTAC